ATCGAAGTAGACGAGATATAAATTATTGTCGAAGTCTAAAGTATTAATATAGGTGATAAACATAATGAAACTCAATTTAATAATATATATTATATATATATCATATATATATGTATATATCTGACTACGTAACAGCTAGTTCTTCATTTACAGCCTGTTGTGTTTGAGTTGTTCTCTCTCTCTCTTAAGCCGACCCACAAATTGTCAATTATTGCAATCGTATTGCGTCCGTTTGATTGGACACTTCCGTCTTCTCAAACAAAGATTATTCAGTCATATATTTAATAAAAAGAAATTAAACCAGTGTTTTTTTCATTCTATTCAGCCAACCATATTCATTCTTCTTCATGACATCTCATCAAAGCAAACCGTCTGTTTAGTCAGAAATGTCAGCTATACCGAAAATCACGTTTTCTTGAAAAAAAAACAGACAAGATCAAATTTACCTGTATGATAATACACGTATGGCCCAATTTTTCTTCCTTTTTGCCCAAACCGCTTAGAAATAGGGATTTGCAGCTGGCATTTGCGACACATTGCTGAATTCCACGTCTTGTTCTAAACAAGGAGAAAACATGAAGAGAGTTTGATCAATGCGGCGGCCCCTTTGGACAGTTACATGTAGCCCGGTCACAATCATGTGCACCTGTATGAGGACAATGTAAACCTGTGTCACGAAAAAAGATAGATAGTCTGGCTGTTTGATTGCAAACCGGTAGACCAGAAAAACCTCGGCTCCGATTGTCTGAAGCTCGGTAAGTTTGTGGTTTACTTCTCGGCCGATTTCGATTCGCATTGATCAAGAAACGTACACGTGCACGTGCGTGCGCGCGCGCTCGCACTCCTGCGCTGGACGAGGGACGAAGACCGAGACAACTCCAACGTTCCGGTGCTTTGGTCCAGTTTGGTGAGTATTCCAAGAACTGATCAACTACTGATTATTGACAACTCATGAATGTACGCAAGTGAATACAGTGCTTCCTGTTTGTTTTTCAGCCTTACCGGTTCGGTTTTTTGTCCAGACCGTAGGCTTTGTCGAAACACCTAGCGTTTCCCGTGGGACTGTATACTCCGCTCATGGAATTTTAGCCTTGGTACCCACCCGTCTGCTGATTCGCTCAAGGTTACGTGCCAACAGCCATACTGCACTTTTGTTCGATCAGAAAAGATGTTTTGAAAATGATGGATGATAGATGGTAGAAATGAGCCATACAATCGTCACAAAGACCTCGGATCAGAATAAGCCTCGATTGAAAACTGAGTTAATGCGTTTCTCTGTGTCCGCATGTATGCATATGGCAGGAATAGGAGTCGAATTAACCAACGGGATTATCGATGCAACGTGTCTCTCCTTTGGGCCCTCAAGGCGTAACAACATAAAAGAACATTCCACAGGCTACATTTGAACTGAGCTTGTTTTCGTGGATTACAAATCTCAGTCCAATAACTAGACCACCCTTTAACATCCTTTCGTTCTGAGTAATTACACGACATTCAGCTACACTGTAAAAACTAAATTATAGTAGATTTTAAGCATTTTTCTCGAAAATGTAGTATCAGCGTACTTTTTTATAACGGTTGCTTCAAGAGTATGCTCCTAAAGAGCGTCATACNACATCGATCACTACGGTTAGCTCCGCAGCATAAAGGAAGTGATCGAACATACATACGGCTCTTCCACTTCGGATAGTTTTCACAATACAACTGGATGTGCATTTCACTCCTAACCCTATCATATTCGTCTGTTCCGAAACACAGACATACAGACTCACTTTGTTCAGCATCATGGTCTTTGAGAACGTCAAGGCAGTACCAAAGGGCACACAGCGAACATGACAATCGAAGAGGCCTTGCACGACTACCCACCTATTCACTCGAATTGGTTCTAAACGACCGCAGGTTGTTCGAATCTAACCGATTCCGGCTGTACATGCTAGATTTGATGCAACAGATGGTAGTCTGTCCCCTCCCCGTTACCTCTCCCCAAGGTTGCTACCGCCAAAGAGCTGTTTACGCCCCGAGGGTGCTTGTTCTTGAGAGAAAACTTAAGAAAATTGGCGTGAAATGTGGTTGAAGAATTAAGACTAGTTGTTAGTAGCCGCCCATCTTTCGAATGGTTCCAGTGAGACTATTTATGCCTGCGTTCATAACCTCATCCTGCTGGAGAAACCGATTTATCATGTCATTCCGAGTCTAATTCCGGGTTTCTTATTGTCTGTATCCATTGTTATTGGTGCATCAGATTGTTCTCCACCCCTTAACATCTTAGTAAACAGGTTGTTGTTTCAGTGTGCATGCTACCTATCTGGGTACAGTGCCACGTTTATCGTCGTTAAACACGATAATGCATCCCAGAAATTCTCTCCCTCTCTCGAACAGTACTGGATCATACACGCTCTGTTCACCATAACCTTAGAAATTAAAAATGAAACAGTTTCGCTCGCTTGCCTTACATACTTATTTAGGGATAGCACAGAGGCCTGTCGCTCATATGATGTACCAGATTGTGCTCGTTTTCTCAACACTTGTGAATAAATTGCACTCGGTCTAGCAAATGCATTGCATGGCGTGTGGTTTCCAACCCATCACTGTATTATTCATATATTGGTCTAGCCTCCTCAGTCATATTGGAACCATTACGTAGCAACTGAACATCCACCTTTCGGGATGCACAAAGTATTTACCGAATTTGACTTATCCAGTTTTAAATAGGACACCGAAACAATTTTCCGAACCAATCAGTTCCATTGGAATGGAATATATTGTCCATTTTTCCAGGTGTTCGGTCTACGGTAACCAGTTAGCTTCGTTTCTGTTTCGTAGTTTGAGTCTCGTGCAGATATTTTTTTATTAAATACATTTGTGTGACGGGGTGAATCCAATAGTCACGAGGACTTGATGCTCCGTTATGGAAACCGGTAAAATAAGCCCTGGGACTTGGAATGGCGAACCACGTAAGGCCCCGATAGGTTAGGCGTGGTATTAAACCAGACGGTAGCAAAGCTGTCTACCACCCAAGTCGGGTTGCGGGCCCTGAACCTCGGACCATAGGGTCCAAAGCACGCCGGTGTCCGCGACTAAACCACTACACCGTCATCACCCCATAGTGTTGCCGTTTGAATTGCACCCTTCATCGGAACCACTCGGTTCTCGGATATCTCTTATCATTCTTTTAGTGGTCACTTTCTGACAATGAGGTTTAGGCAAATTCCAATCAGGCAGTTCGTGTCTCTCCAAGAAACCTTAACTGAGGAGGAAAATTACATACGAATAGTAACATAAGCCTCATTGGAGCGAAATGTCATTCTATTAGACTTCATGAGCGATATGAGCATCGTCGGACAGCAAAATATGGTAAAACGACTTTTGCCGATCGCGCTATCAAAAACTGACAACGCAACCAACACAAGTAAGCATTTGTGAGGTGCACAGGGAATTATTATTATTATATTTCACACTTGTCTGAAGACAGACTGCGTGACAAGCAAATCATCGTACAATATTCTTATAAAAAAAGAAAAACGTTCCATGATTGGCTTGTGGGCTGAATACTACCAGTTTTCCCAGGCCAAGGCAGGGGAATTTTCTTGAGGAATCCACAACCGGAGCCTTCGGGCTAGCCAAAGCCTGACCCGCAAGGTAGCGGGGCGGTGTGAGAGCCGCAGTCCGTTGGGAGCCGATGTCCAGTTCATCGGATCATACGCCCTTCGGACGAGGTCACACGTCCAAGGGGCTTAATACACCTCTATGCCCAATCGAGCCGGTGACTGCAACCGCCACAACCAGGAGGGTGTGGGTGTAGTTCGTAAGACCCCCTTGATTGGTTTGGAATCAGGGTTTTTGGACAACTCCTATAGATGAACTACCAGTGATCTACCAACCCGGATTTTGGACCTGAATTTAGAAATGAACCTCTGCGGTCAACACAGTGCACAGTATGTGCAGATACAAAATTTCAGGAATTACGGCTTGATGAGAAATGACGACAAGAACGCCACTGCCGTCGGTTCGCTGTCAGCCACTATCGTGTCTAGAACCAATCCGTTTCAGAGATTTTCGGACTCCAATTTGACAGATGACAGACACCTACTCCATCAGATCGTTCTGTGCATTTCGTCATGCCTCTTCTCCTGTACTTCATCTGTTGTTCTCCACGAAATTTCCTCCTACATGAAGCAACATTAGCGAATAAGCCGCGGTGCAGCGGACGACAGTCGACATAACCAGCGAAGCCTACTAATCTGAATTCCATGTGAAAATGAAAGTCGCACTGAATCGTTTCATAACCCGCTCGCTCCGTCCAACCTACGACAAACTAAGTACACATCGACAATCGAAGACCTCCAAATCATGAATGTATTGTTCGGCAAATGAGCAGCCTTCAGTCCCCCCCCCCCCCGTAACAACATTACTAATCGTACACTCAGCACTGTTGGCATAACTGAGGCAACAGAGGCATGAATGAGAAATTTTTCGCTGACCACAAGTTCGCTACTGGCCCCGATTCTTCCCATTCGTCTACTGTTCTCCTTAAATTGAACTGGAACGCAGTCCTTGCGAGGAAACCCAACTCCCGTGAAAACCAACAACCTCTGCTTTACCACCAAGGTTCGAAAATGTCTCTCTCGTTGACCGTCCTGCTACGATTTCTGGGATTCTCCCAGTTCAATGGCCGCGGTGTGAAAGTTGTAACAAATACGTTGATTAGGCCAAATATCTAAGTGACATATAAAGGGATTAAACGTTAGGTGCCAATAAAATAGCCATTAACCGCGGGGGCTCAATGGCGGTTACAAACTTATGAGCGTCCGCAAAAAGGTCCTTAGAAATCATGGTTACAGCTGAATGTTTGACGGTTCAGTTCAGTTTGCACCACCATTAACCATCCACATTCGTGCGCCGGTTTTGGTTCCTGTCATTCGTTTACTCATTTGGATGAAGAAAAGGAGTACAGGAAACTTGACGGTAGAGTCCAAAAGAAAATGGAGAAGTTCATCGGTCTATGCACCGTATAGTAGAACTGGCCGAACTGTCGCGGCATACACTCGACCCTCCACAGACAACCGAAAGTAGCGACGGCACCACAGATGTCTCAAGTTGACAAATGCCAACCGAACCTTCTGTATGCGAGCTGACTCTTCATCCATGATGCGTCCACCGAGTGAGATGTAGCTGCCCAGATAACAAAACTTATTCACTTGTTCTATTACTTCTCCAGTTAGAGTGAGGCTGGGTGCTGGACCAAAGCAGTCTTGTAGTAACATTTTGCACTTTGAAGGTGCACAACGCATACCCAATATGGCTACACTGGCATTCAAGCTGTCCAAAAAAACTTGCAACTTACCTACATCTTCACTTAGTAGTACAATGTCGCCTGCATACTCTAGATCAGAAAGTCTGCCACCTGGGAGTAGATCGACAACACTTCTCGCACAAGGATAGGGCTGTTTCTATAATCAAATCTATAACAAAGTTAAATAGAAACGGAGAGGACGGCAACCCTGACGAACTCCACTTTCCGTGGTGAACTCAGACGAAAAAGTGCCGTAAGCTCGAACTCCACTTTGGCTATTAGTATAAAGGAATCTCGGGCACACCCTTCAGGGAATGGCAGAGTCAGAGTTTAGAGTGGTCGACTGAATCGAAAGCCGCTTTCAAATTGAGGAAGATGGAGATTGTGGCTCTACGAAAGGGGTGTCTGTGTTCTAGAATTTCATGAAGAGTGAAGATGTGGTCGATACAATCTCCACCATGTCTAAAACCAGCCTGGTTCTCACGTGTGCACCGTTCATGTGCGGCAGACAATCGACGGAGTATGATGCCGGGGAGAATTTTAGAGGCAATGTTGATTAAACTTATTCCTCTGTGGTTTTCACAAGAGGACCTGTCGCCTTTCTTGTAAATCGGTATGACTACCGATTCACACCATTCGTTTGGAACCTCTTCCCTCTCCCATACTGAGGAGCCCAGGAGTTTTGTTAACTCCAAAACCAAGGCTGAACCACCATCTTTAAAACCGATGGGGACAGTCCGTTGAGGCCGGAAGCCTTATGCCTTTTGAGATAACTTATTCCTCGGGTAACCTCCAGTTCAGATGGAGGACTAGCATCAACTGGGAGTGTTTTCTCAGTCAAGGTCGAGGAGGAAAGATCGGATATCACAGTGTATACGTATGCTTGCCACCGTACAACATTTGATAATTATAACAACAGGAGGATCTGAGAGTTTCTTTAAGCACATGGTCACGTGACATTTTCAGCTGGCGTGTGTACACGACCCGACCATTGTGTCCGATGGAAAGGAATTTCAGCAGTTGAAGCTGTGGGAAGCAGAACATTGATTTCGTAAAGCGGAAATTCACCGCTTTTCGGGAAATACATTCAGGGGTGAAGGGGAAGATTGAGTTACTCTGATTCTGTATTTATCATGAAAATTCAGCATCAAGAGTGCCGAATCAGCCAATCCAGATTCAAACCAAAGAGCATGAAGGATGTGTACAGGTAGTCTGGCATAACAACCACTGGAGCTCTCCAGGTTAGTCATCAACAACCCAACTGCATGTAAACATCATCGCCGTACAGCGAAATATACTGATCGCTGCCAAACTCGCAATACATATGCACTGGAGTTTGATGGATGGGTACTTCCAGGGTGTCTAGCCATTAAGCAGGATAACGATTAGGGTTATCAACCAAAGCCTTTAGTTCTGACAAGAACATAGGCGCAAGGCAGCGGGTGAAACGAAGTGGAGGCCTATTTATTTGAATTAATTACTCCACTAGATTTTAGCGAATGAAACGCAAATTTCAGTCGAACCCCTAACCTTAGAGTTTTCCGACCTCTACCATTCGACCTTCCAGGCATGATTAGATCTTCGGCTTGGTTAAAGCCATCTTGTGCAGTTCGTTGGGTCAGAGGTGCACAAGCCATCACACCTCGTCAAGGTGCAGTCTCGTCCTGACGGCGAGAGATGTTTGCCGTGGCAGTTAATGAGCGGAAGAAAGCCAAGAGTGTTCAAGCATATTAGCCCCGATGTCCGGATACGATAAATCCGACCGGTTTGGTCTTTTGATGCTCTGTAGTACGACGCACTTAATGATTTGTGGAGCCTCTATCTTGAGTTAAAAAAACAGTGCTTCAACGAAAATCAACTTAAATCCAAAACTATTTCATCTATGATGATAACACCCATGGAGATCAGTATCAACTACTGTTCAACAAGCAGGAAAAACAACGAATCGCTACCCGCCGAGGAATGCAACCAGACAGAGCGCAAATCTACGGGTGAAATCATCATACGGGCATAAATCTTGAAGCCTCTGACGAAGACGCAGCTTGCTGGAAACTTATCAGGCACGCACATTCATCCTATTGCGCGCTTGTTATCAATCGGATTCCAGTATTTTTCTCACATATATATATATATATATATATATATATATATCAGCCTCGGATGTGGACAAGAGAACAGAGCAGAACGCTTTCAACGTTTAAAGCATTGTCGCAATTCCATTAGAATAGATAAGCAACTCTGTCCCACAGAGAGAGAAGGAACCGTCACGTAATCCGCCATTCTCACTCACCTGTAACCGAATAAACAAGATAATTTATCCTCGAACTGGAACCACGAAACTACTGACAGCAGCAGAAGCTTTGGATCACTGGACCCGATGAAGCATCCGATGTAACTGTGAAGCGAAAATTTGAGTAAACCCTTTAAGCGAGATCGTCTGACGTTTAAACTAGTCTGGCTGCATGCGGCTCAAATTGATGATGGTTTTCGTTTTCGGTAACAGGAGACAGAAGAAATAAGACCTACGGACCGCGGGAGGAAATAAATGGAGCCACTAGGACGAAAATCACAGCATATATGCATATATGTATTTATTTACAAAAAAAACAACAACCGATATGCAAATTCAGTGTCATCGTGGGATTGGAGTCATTCGCCCACGCGGTTACGGGAAGAGGCAGAAAAGGCAAGGAAATGTTTTGGTAAGAGAGGCAAACCACGGTGATCGCACAGAGGTTCTGTTTGTATGGATGCGTCGATCTATAACAAAAAGCGAAACCGGGTTCAGAGTGGCATTTAGAAACGAATGGATACCAGTGGTTGTTTGGATGCGGACAGAGACGTAAGGGACATGAAACCAAGCGATAAAGTTCACGGGATCTGGTGGAATAGATGGGTGGCGCTGTGAAGTCAACCATCATGGCACAAGAGAGTAAATGCGACTGTGTCAAACGGCATGGACGTGTTTGACAGAAACGGTGAGACGAAAAGAAGCTGTGAGCACAAAGTGGTTGGCGGTGCATTGTGAGCAACCGGTGGAAAAAGAGAGTTATAAAGAGAACAAATTAGACAAACATTCGGTGTGGTCATGATGAGTAGAGATTGAGGCGCACCTAGGTCACACAATCGGAGTGCCACGAAGAGTAAGAAGAACATTTAGTCAATGAGATGCGAAATGAATGATAAATATAGTTTGAACTTTGAAGCNATGAGAGCCATTAGCAAAACTAAGAAAGTGGGCAAAATGATTGACACGAGAGGTGGGTAAAACGAAGTGCAAAAAAGACAAATAGCATACCACGGATCTAAGAACGCATACGTGTGGAGCGAAGAAGGCCGAACCGGTATGTTTGGATGGGTATTATTCGCGATCGCTGGCGGAGATGTGACTTAAACGTCTCATTTTGTTGTCCTTTCGCATAAAAATGTTTAGTAATAAACAATAGATGGGAAATCGGGACAACAAAGCCGCAGATTTCGACGAAGAGGGATTGGATGACTGGAATTTGAGGCGGGCGAACGGGCGAGGAGTACGGATGGGTGTGCAAAACAGTGCACAATAGAAACACGGATGATACCTATGAGGGTGATGATGATGATGATGATGTGAAGGCATTGCGTGCAGAAGCGAGTAGCAAAAAACCTAAAAAAATAATATCATGGTAATCCAAGGCGAAGTAGGAGGGGACCAGGGCGTTTTTGGGCCGCCCTATTTGATTCCCAGTTCTGGAACGGGAACGACTGCAACAATAAGAACAAAACATGAATACAATTAAATGTAGACAAAGTAAGAAGCGGTTGCATAAACCAAGGGGCCGGAACAGGCGTATAAAAAACCGGTAAAAAACAAAAACAAAAAGAACGGAGAACAAACGTAGCTCGTTTAGTGGAGGAAAATGAAAAGACGAGCCAAGGAATTAGTTGAGACATAGTGAGTTGGATGTGCACGGGACGAGGGACGATTCATTGCAAATTCGGTAGAAAAGCATGTGGCAAAAAGAACCATGAACTTGGGTCGCGTGATGTATGAGTGGATGGGGTTTGGGAGAGTACGACAGCAGAAACAAATAGGCATCGTTCGGCGCATGTGATAGGAATAGAACAGCGGTGAGCAATCACGTGTGGAAAATCCGAGCTTCCGTCAAAGCTGGTAGACTGTAAAAGATAAAAAAACCGTAAAACAGAACAATATTGACCAGAAGGGCATAGACCATACAGCGAAAGTGAAAACGGTGATGGTAGGAGGTGAAGACAATGATAATGATGAGAAGGATATGGAAGCATTACCGTGGATGCATTAGACATAAAGAGAGAAAGATGTGACCAAATCGCGCAAACGTGCGCACATCTGTAGTGATCATGATGAAGAAGCTTGACAACTGACGAATGAGGAAAATACACGTGATAAGAGAAGGAAAGGAAGGGGATTAACGGTTTCAATTTGAAGTATGTTCAAGAAAAATGCTTAGTGCTGACACGTTCAGGGATCTGCGTGACGTTAGGCTGTGTTAAACCAGATGGTTGCTGTTCTGACGCCGCAGTGGTATTATGTTGCTGTAACTGTGTCTGCTGCTGTTGCTGCTGCTGGAATAAAACCGGATACTGGTACAATTCGGCTTTTAAACTGGGATAGGAATTGGCGAGAATCTCCATATGTTTACGTAATCGTTCGCCCTCAGAACGATATCGAGCCAGTAGATCTTCCAAGCAACGCACGTGTGCATCACGTTCGGCAACCTGGTTCTCTAGGGCCCGAATTAGAGTGATTTTTCTTTCACGACAGCGCCGAGCGGCTACTCGGTTTCGCGCACGTTTCCTTTCTAGTTTCAAATGATGTTGATCCAAATCATCCACTGACGATGGTGGTGTTTGACCGGAGGCGTTTGTAACAGCACAACCACTTTGGCCTTGTGTTCCACCACCTGTGTCCGCACTGATGGAATCCGAGTGTGTACTGCCATCGTCCATGATGTCAGTCCCGTGCACCGGGGCCTCCTGTTTTACCAATACAGTACGATCGGTATCAGTCATATATACCAGTTGACCACTAGACATTGGAGGGCACTGATAAGAACCCGGGTCCCTGATGGATTGTACCGTATGGAATAAAACCGGGTTAAGCGGATCGGAAGCGTCGGAAGATTCTCTCCCACGCTTCGAGCCAGATTTCGAGACAACATCTGAGGAGAACTGGGCGGGAGTGACATATGCATTTGGACCGGCACTACTGTCATTGATAGATGACACCATACCGGACTGGTTGACTGACGGTTGCGCATCATTCGAATTACGGCATGAGCGTGCCTTTCTTCCCGACCGTTTGGTCTTTTTTGAGGAGCCGGTGGTATTCGACTGCGGGTTATTAAAAGGGGTCAAATGAGAACCCGTGGTGTCTGATACCACGATGTTGGAGACGCTATCTGAGGCCGTATTCTGACTTGACCCTACAATGGGACCCATACGCGAAAACGGAACCCCAGAACATAAAACGGAACCGTTCGTCGTCTCCGATCGTAGCAGATCAGTGGTGGTACAATCATCTGGATTTTTATTCCCATTTGTGGTACCGGTAGACATTTGAGGGCTTCCCAGGAAGGATGAGGGCTCCGACAAACCGGTGTTTAGATGAGTACCAAAGGTCAGTGGGACCCCGTTGTCCCCGTTCAAATTCGGATGGAAGACAAAGTTCTGTTGTAGTTCATCGGAACCCACCATGTCTAACGCACCGTTCAGACCCGGGTACAGTGCGGACAATTGGTGAAGCTGTGATCCAGAGTTAATCAACAGCGTACCGGTAGTCTGCAAGTGTAAAAAGGGATGGCAGAACAACTTAATAAAAGCTGCACGAAACTATCCACACAATTATGTTACCTGAGCACGAGTATTCAGTAATCTACGCTGAACTACAGCACTATTGCGTCAGTAGTAAGGTATCAAAGATAGAAATAATAGAAAATCCGGGAAAATCCATCAGATCGATGCCGTGTAATCTTGATTGTTCTGAGTGTGACAGGAGGGATTTAGATGAAATCGTCAGAGCAATTTTTTCTGGCTTAACTGATTTGGATTTAAAACAGAAACACTTAAGGATGGGTATGCAAGAAACTGACAAACATCTCGTACTATATTCACTTTTAAATCTCCGTGAATAAATGTATCAATGAGAAAGTATGACTTCATTCAATGTCGAGGCTATACTATGATCTCAAGTCCCAGAAACTGTAAAGTGCCTCATGTCGGTAGTGTGTTTCCTATGTGTACAAACATGTGTGGGCGATAACAAGCCGACGATTGTAAAGTGATTGGTTTGACACATGGTGAAAACATAATAGGCAGGGAATCCAAAGTATTCATAACACACAAAAAACGATTTCTGTAGGATTTCGTCATACACAGAGTGATTGCAGTGTGAACTGACAAACTGGACATGGTTCAGCCATTTTCAGTGTGTTGGATTCCACCAGTCGTGCGGGTTCACCATCCTCAGTTAGTTCAAGTTTAAGTTTGTACAACTATTAGCCATGAACTTTTGTGTGCCCGTTTCGGTTGCTGTCTTTTGGCTACCCATTTGAATGAAGCAATAGAAGAAAGGCAGGAAAGGTGAAAGTAGAGTTGAAGAGAAAATGGAGAATTTCATTGGGCTAAGATTGCAAGGAAATTGAGAAGGTACACGAACGCCATTGTTTACGACATTCGGCCATATCACTCAGTCTCTAACCTCCTCGAACCACAGTGAAGATAGCATTTGAAACTCAGCAAATAGAAGACACCACTTCATGAATGGTCACTAGACAAGTCGTTTCCACTTGGGATACTCCCATTGTTTACTAAAAAGTAATGAATTCCCGGCGAGTACTGATTCTCAAAATAAACGATAACAGAAAGACAACAGAATTCAGGAATAGCAATGAGGCTAGAATGAAGAGCATCAATCAGAAATCCGTTGATTAAACTGACTACTTGCTTTATTCAGTTTCGATCTAACTTTGTGGCACCCGTCCTTGCAGCAAATACGCTCCAATTAATTAGCCGTGTCCATAATAACACAAGTCTTCATGCGTTACAACACGATCGAGAGAAAAGCGTTCGATTGACTGTACTCTGTATAGGCAAGCCGAAACAGTGTGGTTACCTCGAAAAGTTCATAGAGCGCAATTATCCCTACGTATGAGAACCCCACCCCCCACCCCCTAAAACAAGAATCTTGAACCACGAAAGACCTTAGACATTGAATGGGTTAGATTTTTAAGGAAGATGAGTGCAGGAATTTAGATTCCATTAAATGTGCTGGATAATCAAACATCAGACAAGACATAAGTAATCAGTATCCAGAAAGCTATCTTATCTTTACAACCCTAAGACATCCACGTCAGATATCATTAACGGAAGTTTAGGAGAAGACTATCGATACAAATTATCTGAAAGTGCTGATGAATAAATCTCCTGCAAAGCTAGCTCTGATCGCGGAAGTGATACAAAGAAAAATTCTACTCACTGAATCTTGAAGGATACCCATGGAACCTAGGGCAGAAGAACCGCTAGTCGTCGAAGCAACGCGAGACAAGATTTGGTCAGTGGTGACAGACGATACCGTTGAACCGGGAGTTAATCGAGCATAGGACTGTTTTCCATCGGAAGAACGGACGATACGTCCCTGATTGATTGATGCAGGGACCGCAGTAGTGGTCACAGCACCGTTGGACGTGAAAACAAACGCGACAGCTTGCGGTTTCCCGGCAGAGGACAGACCAAGCGGACTGTGCGCGTTAGCTGTGCCAGTTGATAATATGGACGGCAGAAGACCGATACTCGAGGTAAGTGATGATGAATCCGAGCTGGTGTAGATGTCATCACGAGCAAAGTTGGTATTCTGCAAAGGCGGACACACACTAAGTGGTGAAGTGTGACTTTTGCTGTGACTATTGCGACCACTATTATCGTTTACCGTCGATGCGGTTGTTGCCACAGCCACTGTCCCATCGGTATTTGTTCCGTAAGATGTTCCGGAACCCACCGGACTGGTTGGGTCAACTGTGGTCGTATCTGGAATAGTATAACGCAGAAGTATGGATGGACTGTCTTCACTCGGCGGCATTTCCCCATTCGTACCATTACGGGTATCCAAACTGAAAAGGGATTGATGACCGGAAGCATGAGTGGAATGCGGTGAGTTGGGTGCGTGCAACGAGAGTGACAGGTCACTGGGATGGATTAGATGATTGTGTTCAGGATTCACATGATCTAACGTGCGGCGATCGGCGTACACATCCTTCAAACTAGAAGCAATGGACAAGATGGTTGGGAGACCCGTGGTCCATGTGGTACTGGTGGTACTGAGGGAACGACAGTTACTGGAAATGAGATCGAAGTCTGTGCTGGGCGATCTGTCAAAGGAGATCAAAAGATGAGATGACGTCTTCATTAGCGATGGGATTAGTGATAGCAGCAACGGCAACAAAATAATCACAGTTGATATCGTTGAATGAACAAAACAAACACTAATATTTGAGAACTGAGGGTGGACGTATTTGAGGAGAGACACCAAAATCAACCTATGAAGTCAATAGTAGCCAATGAAGAGACAAATAATATGCAATCCTTGTCGGTAGCTCAGATATCCTTTGATGTTTCTAATCGTTCTGTTAGTGTATATTTAGACCGTCCGTAATATTTGGTCGTTTTTAGTGCATCTTTTCCGAGCTTTGATCTTAAATCATCGTTCTGTTCTACGACTATCACTGCGATTGCGGAGCGGTTCACCTTATAAAGGTCCAGCGCATCTAGCTCTGTGGTCCATATACAAGCAATATAACTAAACACGGAGTATTCTATGCAGCAAAACCTATGGTAAAACGGAAAAACCCCATAGTATGAGGATGCAATGATTAGTTCGTTTTGTCTAAATTGCAAGCATTGCAAAATCGAACACAAACTATACGTACAGGCACATGCATACATAAGGCGGACATAGCTGACTATAACACCTAGTAACAAGTGCAATTTTAAACCGAACGTAAAGCGAAAGACAATAAATTGAACGCGAATTAGCAACGAGCTTACAGCTCACTGAATTCGGTAAGGTATCAAAAATTTGGCCAGTATATTAGCGTTACCTAATTCTTAGAAAATGGTTAGTCAAGTGGTTCAGTTTATAGTTTACAGCATTGAAGGAGCGCATATTGGCAGAAGCAATGACAAATTCTCACGGGATATGAATATACTAGTACGATCAGTGAAGTATTCGCTCTATCCGCAATCGGCTCATTTGTCTAATTCTACCCTAAAGAGAAGCCCGCTGAAAGTAACGAAACCTGAATTTTCCTACCCAACTTCTTAGATAAGATCGAGCGCTGTTAGAGGACATGAAAGGCATTAATTACTTTACTAGTGGTTACTCCTGCTAAGGGCCATATTGTAGTTCAGTTTAGCTGAAGCAGACACGAAATCGCGCGTTTTTGTGTCCCTCTTCTCGTTGGTCATCTTCAAGCTACCTATCCGGACGAACGAACGAACGATCCAGACAGAAGTGAGATCGAAAAAAAGCTGACTGCTACTCCAAACTGAACATTCGCGATTACAATTAAATTTGGACTGAATGGAGAAACCAAATAAGCAACATTATTCATATCAGTCAGAATGCCGCCATCCGGGAAGTCTAACACAACAAAAACAATTAACCATCAATAGTTGCTGAGAGATTCAGCCGGAGCCCGCACTCCACTTGTCAGAATTAGAGCGAAATAATGAACAGTGTATAGTCGATGGCTGATTTTGCCGGAAGGTGGGGAGCAGTATGAAGAACTTATTGAGAGTTACACATGAACAAATAGTTCATCGTCAAGAGAAACAAAAGTACAGTTCAGTTT